GTTTACAGGGTCGAGCTTCGTCCGGGGACTGGCACGGTAAAAAAAAGCTGAGGGCAGGACACGATGGGGCAGCAGGTGTGCAGCACAGCATGAACCTTCATATGAGCCAGGGGCACGACGGAACGGCAAACGGTGAGCAGTGTTGCATGGCATAAACACGACGGGATTTTGCAGCAGACTACTAGTCGCGAGAGTGCTCTTTTCCAGGACCAGCGGTCGAGCTGTGCGGATCTCAAACTCGCCGGTTGGCCGTATCTTCGAGCCTCACCCCTCCAGCTTGCCCTCTATCGCGTGTGCTCTGTTTACCTTTGTACGTAGGCCGGCTAGACATTCTTAAGACAGTTCGTGTGCATTGGAATCGAGTGGCTCTAGCCGAGCTTCGGCAAGCAAAAGATATATACATCACTGGGCGCTAGCCTCTGTGGGAAGAGCCGCTCAGACGCCCGAGGCCGGGGTGAGGTGGTGCCGCGTGACGTGCCCCAGGAAGCGCCAGTTCTGGTCGTATTGGACCCGGGACAACGCCACATAGGCAGCGGCCTCCACGTTGGGGACGTCGAGCCATATCGTCACGTGGTCGAGGGTCGCCCCCTGGATCTTCTGCAAGTTCGTCGCGTAACCGAGCCTGATCGGCAGGTAGGTGATCCGTCGGTTCACCCCGGCGACGTCAATCTCGTCGTCCGTGTAGGGAAACACGGAGACCACGTTGCCGCAGTGCGTGAGGACCAGCACGGAGGAGCTTTGCACGGCCAGCACGACCCCGCGCATGCCGTTGACAAAGTTCTGCTCCTTCTGCACGTTCCGGGTGAGCGTCACGCGCATGCCTTCGTAGACAGGAAGATGCAGCGGCTGACAGTCCACGAGCTGACCGAGGTCGTCGTAGTTGTCCACGTTGCTTTCATAGTCGCCCGGCACGAAGCAGAGGGGCTGGGCATCTCCGTATAGGGCTCGGACGGCAAGATCGTTGAGAAGCGCGGCGTGGCGGCGAGTGATTGTCAGGAACAGGGTGTGCGGCGTTTCCTGCAGCATCCCCTGGACGTCCAGCTCCGTGGGTTCCGGACTGACGCCGGGGCCCCGATCGGGCATTGCCCGATGCCCGCGCAGGATGCGGAGCAACTGCTCCCTGGAAGGCTTGGTGGTGCGCAGGAGCTCCAGCTTCCATCGCAACTCGGGACATTTGCACCGCCGCATCGTCTGCAGGTGGCGCTTCACGACGCCCCGCCAGCGAGGGCTGTCGGAGGCCCTCGTGGGGTCCATGCCCCGCAGCTGGTGGAAGTCGCCAACGAACACCAAAGCCGGGCGGCGATCCGCGTTGTCCCACAACCACAGTAGGCGCTCGAACGTCGCGCGGGAGAGCTGGCCCACCTCGTCGATGACGATCAAGTCAAAGCTCCCCATGCAATCCCACGTCTCCTCCTGGGGCAGGTGCAGCAGAAACATGCCGTGCAAGGTGTCGACATCCAGGCCAGGGAACTTCTCCCGGTAGGCGCTCGCGAGCATGCCGGTCGGACACGCAATGCCAACGTGGGCACCGGCCTCTGCGGCGCGCTGGACGGCCACCTCCAGCGCGGTGCTCTTCCCCGACCCGGCAGGCCCCAGCACGCAGAAGGGCTGCAGCACCTGTGGGGGCGAGTGGCGAGTTCGGTCGAGGAAGTCGTGCAGCTGGGCGGGGTCTGCGTCCTCGGGGTACCGGCGCTCGAGTGCCCAGCGGACCATGTTCCGGACGTGTTCCACCACGACTGCTTGCTCCGGATCCAATTCTCCACGGTAGCCGACTTCGGGGGCGGCGAGGAGGTCCGGCTGCGGAGGCATGTCCACGTCGAGCACCAATTGGCCGGAGAGATAGGCATCGACGACCGCGGTGCGAGCCTCCAACATGCTCAGGACGTTGCAGATGTGGGCGTCCTTGCGGCCTTCCAACTGTAGATCACGCTGCACGTCGTGGAGGCGACGCCAGTAGCCGGGACGGTGCAACAAACACAAGGCCAGCATCCGATAGCCTTCGGGCACCTTAGCCGCCCGATCGTCCCACAGATCAGCAAGGGAACGGAAGGGCACGTTGAGCAGCAGCCACTGGCCGAAGTAGCTGTCCCTCAGAGGCGAGTGTAGCGTCGCCGCCACCAGCACCCGGCGCTTGTTCTTGCGCCTGTCTCCAGACTGGTTGCACTGGCGCAGGTATTCCAGGAGCGTACAGCTCTCGGACCGCCAGTCACAGGCCACGTAGAGCGACTCCCAACGGCTCGGCGGGAAGCCGGCCCAGGGCGGGCGCACGACCACGCGGCGCAGCACGCCGGTCTGGAGCACCTGCCGAAACTGCTGCCCGGCGAGTTGGAGCCACATCTCGGGCTCGAGTGGGTGGTACTCCATAAGAACCTTCCGGGCCAGTTGGAAGTCTGTTGCCTCGTCGTTCAGCCAGGCGGTTGCGAACTGGTCGCTGAACTTGGCGTTGTAGCTGGCCGCGTACTGCAGCAACAGTCCACGGCCGTCGCCCATCTGCACGTCCATGTGACACTGCAGCGCCCCCAGCAGGTCGGGCAAGTAGGCCCGGACATGTGCTGCGCGGGCGTCGGCCGGATGGTGAAGGTGCAGGACACCTGTTGCGCTGTCGAAGACCGTGGGGCCATCTCTCCGTGGCCAGGCGCTGTCGTCCCAGTCCTGCTGGGAATCACGCACCAAATCGTGCAGTTCTGGCTCCGTGGTTGCGTCCGGGATGTCTGCGCGCACGACTCGCGGCCAGTCGATGCCGTCGGCATCCTTAAGCCAGATCAAGAGGTGCAAGTGGACACGCCCGGAGCCATGATAGGATTGACCCGGGCCCACGTGCCTTTTGCGTTTCCCATCCTGGAATTCGAGACGAGCGAAGACTTCCACCACGCTGGAGCCAGCAGCGTCGCGACTCGCCAAGATGTGCCGATCCCACCGTCGACGCGCGCTGGCCGTCTGCTGTCGATTGGTTCCGGCGAGGAGGCCTTCGGCAGTCTGGAAGAGCAGGTGCGCGAGGTGGAACGTCTCCGCCGCCGGAAGGTTCGCGCGGCAGCGACAGGCCTTGTGAAGCTCGTCCTGAAGCCAGTGATGATAGGGCGCCGACAGCTCCAAGGGGGCCACAGTCACGAACATGGAGGGGAAGCCGAGCTGGCGCACGCAACGCAGTCCACGAGGCCGGCGTGCATGTTCCGCCAGTAAAGAGGCGAGAAGCTCCGCCCGGCCAAGGCGCCGCGAAGATTCGTGGGCGCGGCATTGCGGGCCCCGCCGAGAGAGCTCCACATCCAGAGATCATACACGAAGTGGGCCAGGGCACGGTCGGTGCCATAGCCAATCACAGAAGAGAAAACCTTGGCGATGAAGCTGGCCTTGGCGCTTTGGCGCGTGGCGCCTTCCGGGCATGGGCCCTCCACTTGCTCTTCTTCACAGCCGCTGTCAGGGTCCTCAACCTCGTTCTCTGGTTCCTCGGCGGCTTCCATCATGTCCACGTCGCCATCCGCATCCTCGTCGCGGCCCTCTTGCTGCTCGGCTCGAGAAAGGCGCCTCGCATCCACGCTGCGAACGTACGTCTCGCACATGGTGCGGTCCCAATAGAGATGAGGCCAGATGGCAGACTCCAAGCCGATCGTCTCCAGAAAGCGCAGCGGCAGCCAGGGCACTGGGGTCGCAGCGTCCAAGTCGCCATGATCCAGAAGACGTTGACGGTGCCGCAGAAACTCAGTGTGAGATCTCGATCAGGAAGTCGCGGTATGGGCAGGTCTCCGCAGCAATCAACCAGGTGTAGGCGGCACGTCCAGCACGCCAAGCTGCGCGAGGAAGTGCGCTGAGGCGCTCCTCGACGGACATCGGCTTCCAGCTGAAGCGAACGCAGCTGGTGTGCACCCAGTGGCCCTGCAGCGCGCGCTCGGCCGGACCCGTGTAGACGTCAAGAATGGCCAGCGCCGAGAGTACCTCTTCAGGTAGCCTCCGCAGGGGTTCGGGCACGTCGGAGGGTCGCGGCGCCCAGTATCCGATCCCGGCGGAACAGTGTCCGCACGCTGCAAGCGTGGGCTGGAGCCTTCCGGAGGCACGCACGTGCTTGGGCTCGAACGGCTGTGGGACCATCCGGTCGCATTGGCGGCACATGCGCCACGACCAGTTCTTCGCGAAGTTCGTGAAGGCCTTGGCTAGGTCCGTCTGCCAAGCGGCCGCTGGCCGTCCATCTTCGCCATAGATGGCCGGAAATTTCTTCTGCAACGCTCGCAGTTGGCTGGCGCAGCTTCTCTCATGCACTCTTTTCGTTTCTGTTGAGGGGTCGCACTGGGATTGGCGGGCTTCCAACAAACCCGCCCAGTCAGCGGGGTCTCCACCTCCTCGACGTTGAGCTCGGGCCTTAGCTTGTTGCTGTGCACGTGCATCGCGCTCCTGCGCTGTAGCTCCCCGTTGACGCAGATGTTGCTGCAGACGCTGCTCGCAAGCAGCCCAGGTCGGCTCTCCAGCCACGTCTCGAAGCCGCTGCGCGGCGCGGACGTACACATCCTCCGGGCTTTGCTCGTGAAAAAAAGCCAAGGCAGCCGTGACCACACCTTTGCCCCGGGAGTTACCCAGACGCTGCCTCAGCACTGACTCTGAGCAGAAGACGCACGATGCCTGCCCCCGGTTTGCATGAATTCTCGACGGCCGGCCCAGGTCGGTCGTCGAGAAGACGCAGGCCTGCCGCTCCTCGCCGGCGCCAGCGAAGCCGCTGCAGCACTCCGAGGGATGTCGCGCCATGTGAGGCGCCCAGCCCGGTCGAGTCAAGGTAGACAAACAGAAAGGCAAGAGCTGTAGAGACGGAAGGTGCTGCGGCAAGATTGCAGGGACTGGTAGCAGGCAAGAAGGTGACAGTGCATCAACACGAAAGCGATCAGAGTTGAACTGCACACATTCTCAGTCATGCTGCGTTGCCGTCACATGACAGCGCACTTGTACTGTTCGTGCTACAACAAATGGGGCAGGCTCTGCATGCACTTTTGGATGGAAGACGATCTCTGCGATGCAGTTCACAGGCCGCCGAGCGCATACAGAACAGCGCCCTCTCTGTTCGCCAGGTCGCGTGCAAGGACGCCCAATCGCAGAACGTGACCTCGTAAGGCAGCGTTCTGCACTCGCAGGATACGAACCTGCAAAGGGTGCGCGCAACGCCGATACGTTATTATTGTTATATCACTCGTGCGAAGATTCCTTGCCTCAGCCCATAACTGTGTCACCTCAAGCATCGTCCAATCGCGACCGTCTTCAGCTCGAAGGGGTGGGAGATGGGCGACCAGGTCATGAGGACTCGGCAGCTCCGCCACCGGTCGCGCGGGCACGCAGAAGTCGGCCTGAGACAACGGGTCGCAGTCCCATGGGGGTCATCAAGACAACGCACGATGGGCCGGGCTGCAGGCAAGGAACTATGGCCACCACGGCATCCCCGCAGGCTCCGTTTCCCAAGACAGGGAGGCCTCGCAGGACCGTGAGCAACTCGACCTGGCGCCGAAGCCAGAGGATGTAGTAGTCGAAGTCGATGCAGGCATGAGCCAGACGATCACGAAGAGACACTTCGGCATCGGCCGCCTGGAGTCCTCGGCGCGCGAGAGTGCATGGCATGCATCATTGTAACACATCACAGGCAACAGTGCCTGCGCGCGCACAGCGCCCGCGAGCGCCCGTGTCCATGAGTTGCAGTTGAAGGAGATCCATGTTATCGACGGGTGGATCGCGGAAGAAGGACGATAGTGCCTGATGCGAAACACGATATATCACGGCTGCGATGAGTATGCATGCTGCAACAGACAAGTCAAGTGCAAACGTACGGGATTGTCATCTGGAGAACACAGTCCGCTTGACGGGCAGGCGAACCTGGCTTTGAAAGCTTCCGGACTTCCAACGTCCACACATGTGCTATACAGTTGTTCACGCAAGTCTATTAACGGCAGATTCGTTTCGCTGCCGCCTCTGCTCCCCTTCATAGGAACGGCATACTTGCACTACCTGACTACAGCAACCAGGGCAAGCACTGCGTGCACTTTTTGATGGGAAGACAACCTCTGCGCGTACGGCAGCGTCATGAGGTGATCGGCCATGGGACATGTGCGGGGCACGGTCTAAATGGCATCGGAGCCTCAATCGAGCTTGCGCACGAAGACGACCTCGGGGGCTCCGGTTGCTGGTGTGGTGCTTGCAGCAATGGGCACGCACTTGCCGTCTTGCAGCACATGGGCCGTCCAATTGACGAGGTCGCCGGCCATCCCCTGGTCCTCTAAGACATAGCACGCTGCACCCTCGACCGTCAGATCGTCCTCCATCTTGACTTCATGGACACGGTCCGTCTCGTCGGCGACGATGGCGCCGTTCAGGTCGAGGGCCGAGACGAAGTGGATCTTCATCTTGTCGACGGCTGCAGCCGGCTCTTCGGACCTCGAAGACTTGCGTTCCTTCTTCTTGTTGTCCGTCCCTGAAGAGCTCGAAGACTTTCGCTTCTTTTTGTCTTTGTTCTGGTCCTTGTCGGCCTTAGGCTCTTTGTCCTTGTCCTTCTTGTCCTTGTCCTTGTCTTTGTCCTTGTCCTTGTCGTCCTTCTGCTTTTTCTTCTCGTCATCTTTGCCGCCCCTGTCTTTCTTGGATTTGTCGTCCTTCTTCTTGTTGGACTCGCTGGAGGACGAACTCGACTTCTTCCTGCGCTTCTTACCGTCTTTGTCTTTCTTGGACTTTCTCGCCTTCTTCGGCTTCTTGGACGTCTCCGAAGATGAGGACGAAGAGAGTGCTCGGGCGCGATCGTCGGCTGCATCGTCCGAATCGTCTCCGCGAATGAGTGCTCCACCTTGCTTCCAGGCGGCTTCGCTCTTTTTGCGTGCTCTGTACGCCTCCACCAAGAACGTGGCCGCGGCAGCCGGCTTCTTACCGCCCGCCTTCCACTTGTCCAAGGCTTTCTGCAGGAACTCGTCGGAGGGAACCTGCGAGCACCAAGCTGCCAAGCCATCGGCTTTGATGAGCGCGTCCAGGGCATGTAGTCCACCAACGTAGAGCAGAGCTCCATGGGCAGCCACGCGGGCCAAGTGCTCGTAGAGCATTGCCTTGTTTTCCTTCAAGAAGGTCAAGATCTTCTCGAAGGCATCCTCACAGTCTTGCGGCCGATGCTTCGCCGTCTCGAAGTCGGTCTTTGCGAGACGTTCCACGAAGGCTTTGCCTTCCTGGCTACCTTGGAAAAGTGACGCCAGAGCGGCCTCCGACGCCTTGGCCTCGTCGCTCTGCAAGCCGGCCGCGAAAGCCCGAAGGGTCGTGGATAGCATGGAAAACCCGTATGCAGGGCGGCGGGATAGTTCCGATACCTCCGTGGTGAGAAGCTGTCGCAAGCATGTCTTCGCGAGCATCTCCACATCGGAACCGTCGCCGTACAGGAAGTTGCCAGAAGAGGCCGCGTAGGGCCGCAGGAATTTCTTGGCCATTGAGTCGCGGCCAAGAAGTCGACGTGTCGAAGTGCGGCCCTCGCCCTCATAGCCAGGCGGTGCCTGATGCTGCGATGGCGACCACGCCGGGGCCCAAGCATCGCGGTCGCCGTAACCGTAGCCCTTCGCGCCCTTGCCTTTTCCCATGCAGCCGCCGCCGCCCCAGTAGGTGCCGCCAGCACCGGTGTAGCCCTTGCCCTTGCCGTGCTTGCCCTTGCTGAACATCAGCGTAGGAGCGCAGACGAAATGGAATCGCGTGAGCTTATAGATGTTGTCTATTGTCTGTAGACAAATGGCTGCAGACGAGCAAAACAAAGCATGCTATCTCAACGAGAGTCGGCTCGAACTGAGCAATATAGTCACCCGTGCGAGCGCTCGCAGCTGGCCTTTCTTCGAGCCCTTGCGCTGACTTCTAAAAAAGCTAAGACCCGCCGCGCGGCTGGCGGCTTCACTCACTGCCAGCAGCCGGCTCGCACGGCGTGGCGCGGCCTTCTTCCATCCCGACCTCAGAGACACATCACTACGACTGTGCAATGCTGCTGGGCAGGTGGCTGGAAAAAAAGTCATGCATGGCTAGGTGCTGCCCAGAGGCGGGAAAAATGTAATGAGTTTTCGTGTTTTCGTCCAAAACCTCCTGCGGCAGGAATCAAAGGCCTAAGTTAAAGACAGTAAACGTTTTCCAAAACAACATCTAGCATACTTACCCGCAGGAGGTTTTGTAGGGAGACTGCGTCCCAACCTTAAAGGAAACGCAAAAATCGACACAAAACCGCCCAAAGTAGATAAAGAAAAAACAGGCCGTGAGGCACAAAACGGCCCGAAGCCAGGCGCGGGCAGGAAATACGGGATCGCAGTTGGCTGGTTCGTATATGCGTGGCTACTGAATCGAAAAGCGTGACACCGCAACCAGCACAGCAAACACAACAAAAAACACGGGTTCTGGACCGAGTGGCGGTTTTTGGCTGCCGCGTCGGTTTTGGAAAACCGTACAAAAACCCTCCGAAAACACGGAAAGCGAAACGATCACACGCCCAAAATCGCGAATATTAGCGTCCCGGGGGGGCCCCGGGACAGTTTCCTGGGGGCGTCCCGGGGCGTCCCGGGGGCGCCCCGGGACAGCTGTCCCTGGGGGGGTCCCGGGGGGGCCCCGGGACAATTGTCCCAGGTGGGCCGCGGGACGCCCCGGGACGCCCCAGGACAACCTGTCCCGGGGGGGCCCCGGGACAACCCGTCCCGGGGGGCCCCCGGGACAACCCGTTCAGGAGGGACCTTTGTGAGGAAGGTTGAGGCCGCCGTGCTCCGGGAAGCTTAGGTGGAGGGCTGCGGGATGGGGGTGGGGAGGGCTGAAGCTTAAGGCTCTAGATCTCTGGAAGCTGAACTGTTGCTGCTGGAGCGCCTAAGGCCCGCGGGATCTGGTTTTAACTGTTGTGCTTCTGGAGGGGTGGTGGGGGCAGGGGCTTGGCGCTCAATTTCGCGGAGCCGTGGCGTTGGCGGGTTAACTTTTATGCAATAAGCGTGCAAGGAAATTTAGCCATAAAACCTCGGCAAATTCCTATGCCGGCAACGTCATGTTTCATTTTGGGGCTCTGCGTGTCATCCTAAACCCAAAAGGAGCATGTCGCAGACTCCCGTGTGGCGCTCAAATTCGTGGATCTCTGGCGCTGGAGGGCCAACTTTTTAGTTTTTTGAGCTGAGACGCAAATTTGGCCAGAAATCCTCGGCAAATTCGTGTGCCGGCAACGTCATGTTGCAGTTTGTGGCTCTGCATGTCATCCTAAACCCAAAGGAGCAAAACGCGTTGGCGCTCAATTTCGCGGATCTGTGGCGCTGGCGGTCCAACTGTTGTGCAAGAAACTCAAAAGGAAATTTAGCTAGAAAACCTCGGCAAATTCCTATGCCGGCAACGTCCTGTTTCATTTTGAGGCTTTGCGTGTCATCCCAAACGTAAAAGCAGACTGCTGACGCCCAAGTTCGTGGCTCTTTGGCGCTGGCGGGCCAACTGGGCAGGCCGCTTTTGGAGGGGGAGGCGGCAGGCTCGCGGCCTGGAGGGGCTAAAGCGCTTGGAGGGGCTGGAGGGCCTGGAGGCTGGATGGAGGTGTTGGAGGGGCTGGAGGGCCTGGATATCGAGGGCTGGCTGAGGGCGCTGGTTTGGAGGGCCTCGGAGGGTTTGGAGGGGCCAAAAGGTTGGAGGAGGGGCTGGAGGCCTGGAGGTTGGAGGAGGGTCTGGGCCTGGGCTGGAGGGCCTGGGGCTGTCAGGGGCGAGCGGGCCCAGATGGAGGGGCCAAGAAAGGCGGGGCAGGGTCAGGGCGTCAGGCAAGGGGGGGGAGGAAGCCCAGGGGGGGGCCAGGAGGGCCAGGGGGGGCCAGGGGCCCAGGGGGGGGGCCGGGGCTAGGGGGGGTTGGCGCACCAAAAATCAGCTTTTGAGCACCCGCCCTGCCTGGCCTGGCCTGAGCCCCCCCTGGTCCCTGGACACGCTGCGGTGAGGGGTCCGGGTCCTCCTGGCCTGGGGGCCTTGGGGTACCCCCCCCGAAACGGCCACCCCCTCAGGCTGGGCTTGGGGTTTAGGGTATTTACTTTATTAAGGGGACCAGTACTGGTCCCCGGGAGAACCTGCTCCGGTACCGGGCCCATCGTGGGTGCTACCGACCTCCTGGCTGCAGGAGGCGGGCAAGCGACCTGGGTCGACTTTCGCCATAGAGGCGGAAGGGCTTAAGCGCCGCCCCCCCTGGAGATCTGAGCCGCAGACCCTGCGCCCTGAAACCCAAAAACCCATCCAAGAAACGCGTTGGAGTTTAGGAGTTCACTTCGGGTTTAGGTTTAGGACTGTTTACAGGCTTCATAGTCTTGCGAGGGGGGGGAGGGGGTTGGCCTAGAGGGCTTAGAAAGGTGTAGAGGATTCACTGGTAAAGCTGAAAACGACTTCCTCATCCACTTCGGCCCTTACGTATCTGGGCGGTTGGAGATTAGGGGGTTTACGAAAATAATTAAGCCCTAGTATAGACCCCAAATAGTAGGATTCCTTGTAATAAGAAGGAACCCCCCCCCCCATTTTCGGAAACCCCCATTAGGGCTCACCTGCTTACACCCTCAAGGAGATCAGGGTCCCCGCTCCCAGCCCCACCCCAAAGCAGCTCAGAACCGGCTTGGGGTTTCGGGTTTGGGGGTTTAGGGTTTGGGGCCCTAAACCCTAAACCCTAAACCCTAAACCCTAAACCCTAAACCCTAAACCCCACTTGGTTTGGGTTTAGGCTTGCGCTTTTGGGGGGGTTTCCGGGCCTGGGCCCTGGAGGCATCGAAGTCCCACCTCGGCATTCAAGAAAGGTTTTGGGATTTTGGGTTTAGGGTCTTGTAGGGTTTAGGATAGAACTGTAGATAAAGAGGGTCCCAGGCAGGGTCCGGGTCTGTAGGGTTGAGGTTGTGGGAGGTTTGGCGGGGTGTGCTGGGTGTAGAGCTAATTATTGGGGTTCGGGATTCCGTATAAGGATCTTGGATTTGGGGTTTTGCGGGTTTAGGGGGCCTAGGGTTTATGGTTTTAGCGTGGGTTTCTTCGGGCGCCAGTCTTGTCGGGAAGGCCGCTTTCCATGCTTGGGCTGACAAGACAAGGCCTTGCACGAAACTACACGAGGGGAAGCTGTAGCCAATAAAGCGGGGGAACGCGGGCCGGGGAGGTGCCAGAGAGGGGGATTACCCCAAGCATGTCCCTTAGCATGTATATTATGCGCCAACATTCACGCCCCTCCCCCCACCCCCCCCGTGGTTAATGTAGCATGTACATGCGCCAACATTCAGTTTATGGTTGGCTTAGAGTTTCGGGTTTAATGCTTCCCCCCTGGATCTGTGAATCATGGTGGGTTTCGGGCTTAATCGGTTCAGGGTTTAGGGTGAAGGCGTCAAGGTCTTTCACTGTGCCCCCCCGCCCCCTCCCCCCCGTGGTTCTTGGTGGGTTTGAGCTTTACGGCTCAGGGTTATATATGTTGAGGGTTTAGGTTCGCAGTCTCATGTTTCCCTCCCCCCCCCCCCCCCCCCCCTTCTGGTCGTTCGTGGTGGGTTTAGGGTTAAGGGTCGAGATTTATGGTTTGGGGGGGCGGGGAGGGGGAGTGGCTGTAAGCCTCAAATGCCCAACATCCTAAGCACCCTACACCCGAAACCCTAAAACCCTGAAACCCGGAAACCCTAGACCTCAACCCTAAATCCGTAAACCCTAAACCCTGAACCCTCAAACCCTTAAACCCTGAAACCCTTAAACCCTTAAACCCTTAAACCCTTAAGCCCTGAAACCCTTAAACCCTTAAACCCTTCAACCCTTGCACCCTTAAACCCTGAAACCCTAAAACCCTGAAACTGGGCCGTGAGGCTCGCTTGACCTGGTGCCGAAGAAGAGCTCGAAGTCCTGGCTACCCGGCTCATCGGCTCAGGGTTTTAAGGGGTTAAGCCCTAAACCCTAAACCCTAAACCCTAAACCCTAAACCCTAAACCCTCAACCCTCAACCCTAAACCCTAAACCCTAAACCCTAAACCCCAGGTTTCTAAGGGTTCTAAGGGCTCTAAGGGTTCTAAGGGTTCTAAAGGTTCCGAAGGGTGCTCGGGGTTGTAAGGGTTCTAAGAGTTATAAGGGTTCTCAAGGTTATAAAGGTTATAAGGGCTAAAGGGCGAAGGGAGACGGGCTAAGGGCTAAAAGCCCTGAGCCCTAAAACCTGAATCGTAAACCTCACAGGATTTAGGCTCCAGGGTTTGCATGAACATTTTACCGGAAGAACCCTAAACCCTAAACCCTAAACCCTAAACCCTAAACCCTAAACCCTAAACCGCAGGTTGCCTAAGGGTGTAGGATTTACTTCAGGTAGGGCTCAGACAGTTCAGGCTCGTTGCAAAGTCCCGTCATCCCACTTTAGTAGCCCAGTAACCATCTTGTAATAAGGGCACCCTTTTCTGGGGCGGTTTAGGGTTTAGGGTTTAGGGTTTAGGGTTTAGGGTTTAGGGTTTAGGGTTACTTTATAAGGGAACCCAGAACCAAAAAATGGCAAAGGGTACAACTGGGCTACCAAGAAATGCAACCTTTTAGATGGTCACGGCTGCATGACACTTCGTCCCAAGTGTTGCGTACTGCTAAAGCCTGACGGGGCATTTCCCAAAATAAGGGTACCCCTTTTACACCCCAAGTAAGAATAGAATCCCCTCAAAGGGCGCCCTCAAAAGTGTGTCCCTGTTTTCGGGACATCCGCAGA